AGAAGGATGTTTTGAGTACTAAACTCTTCCTTTACCCACGTAGCAGATACTTACCAGCAAAATCTTGACCAGTTGTTCAAGCTCTTTGGTCAAATATGCAACAGAAGCTCGAAATTCATGCAGCCAATTAATAATCTGGGCATCCTTAAAATAAGCAGAAAAAATAGGTAACTATTTCAATAAACAGTACGACCTATTAGCAGAAAATAACAAAACCTTAGAACTCAAGAGATTAAGACTGTAAATAGAAATTGTTTTCACACTAACATGAAAGGAATTTCTTTTCATTTGTGTCCTCATCCATGAAAGTTCTTGAATGCAGAATACATTCATGCCAACTCCTAAACCAACAGCCTGCCATGAAGGCTTCAGTCAGACTGAGCAAGGAATGAAACCTCCCTCATGCAGAACATAAAAGAAATGGTATTTCATCCTAATTTTCTTTTCTCTTTTGCTCTAGTTTAACAGAAGGGACATTCAAGTCTCAAAACAGCAAATGTGGTGGGTACTTGTAGCTATACAGAAGAGTGAAACAATACTTCTGGGTATAACTACTAAATGCATATGTATGTTACTGCCTAGTGAAACCAAATTTAGTGATATCAAGAGGTAAAATTCAATGCAACTTAAAGGCTATAAAAGTCAGAAACCACAGTCTGATCTACAGAAGTGTCTCTATAATCAAGCATCAGTGACCTAAAAAGATGGTATCTGGAACAAAGACAAACTCAAAGGGCAGAGCAGAGTTGGTAAGGATATGGCACCATTTATGAAGATCCTGCATATACATGTGTGTATAAATAGACATTTTTATTCCGTTTAGAGTTTTAATTGGATGGTTTCTGCAAAGGAAAAAAAGCTGTTAAATACAATTTAAATGTTCTAAGCAAAGGATTTGTGTAAGCACCAGAATGACTTGTTTGGTGATTACACTCAGACAGACGAACTTTAAATCATCATCAGACCCCTGACTATCAAAGTCTTACCTTTATGTCTGGATCTGACAGCTGATGTTTTAACAACTCAAAATCTGTGGTGTCACCCTATCAGAGGAAACAAAAATAAATTCATTACTTTTTTTTTTTCCTTCAGTAAAAACTATCAGTTACCTCAATGTATCCGAACAACCAACTATTGCTGAACAGGTATATCAAGAACACGAGAGAGCCGGCTCAGGAAGGCTGAAGCAGCAGTAACAGGGTGCTGTCTCAGAAGCCAGTCGAGGCTGCTGGCTCATTTTCACCTGCAGATACAGCTGGATCCCTGCGCACACTTTTTAGCACAACCCAGGCTTTACATTCACCCGGCCACTGAGGTTGACTCACGGGGGAAATCTTTTCACTCGCACATCAATACCGCCTGGCACAAGCCTACAACGCTCAGCCTCCTTCCATTTTTTTCCCTAATCCTTCAGGCACGGTCTTGCGTAAGGCGAAACGAGTCTTCTCACGGAATGACCCCAGGAACCAGCAGCCCGGACGCAGCGCAGGCCCCCGAGAAGCCGCAGTCACCTTTTCGTACTTCAGCAGGATCTCGGTCAGGGTCCCCCCGAACCGCACCGTCTTCCTGGGCGGGGAGCTGATGAACTCGTCCGCTCCCAGCATGGTCACGGCTCCTGCGGGGAGGGGAAGCCGCGTGAGCACCGCTCGGAGGCCCGGGGCTCCTCTCGGGCTCCTCCTCAGCAGGGAAAGCCGCAGGAGCCGCTGCTCCCCCCCGCTTTGCGCCCCCCTTTGCCTTGCGGTAGCAGCCGCGTCCCCGCTACCGGGGCCCGCGGCGCCGCGCCCCGCGCCCAGCGCGTCCCGCCTGCCCGCGCCGCCACATGCCGCTCCGGCGGAAACTGCGCGGCCGGGCGGAAACCGCGCCGGCCGGCACCGCCCCTCGCACTGCCGGGCCGCACCGCCGGGCGGCGGCACTGAGCGGCACCGAGGAACCAGAGAGCTGGGACCGGGCCGCACCGCTAGGCGGCGGCACTGAGCGGCACCGAGCGGAACCACTGAGGGGCAGCGAGCGGCCCGAGCGGAACCAGTGAGCTGAGACCGAGCGGCACCGAGCGACACCGCTAGGCGGCGGCACTGAGCGGCACCGAGCGGCACCGCTGAGCGGCACCGAGCGGAACCGAGGGGAACCAGAGAGCTGGGACCGGGCCGCACCGCTAGGCGGCGGCACTGAGCGGAACCGAGCGGAACCGCTGAGCAGCACCGAGCGGCACCGAGCGGAACCAGTGAGCTGGGACCGGGCCGCACCGCTCCGCTGAGCGGGCTCGGAGCGCCGGGAGGGAGCAGCCGCGGCGGGACACGGAGAGGGCGTTTCCGTTTCCAGCCCCGTACGCGGGGAAGAGGAGCGGGAAGCTCTGCTCTCGTCACCATTCCCGTTTTAACACTGAGTCTCAGTAGCGTTCCCAGCGTCCCGGGGTGCGTGAGCAGAAATCCAGATTTATCCCCAGGGTCGTGGTGGAGCGATCCCATCCCCTTGGGCAGCTCCCCGTGAGCGGTGGGAGCCGCGGTGACACCAAGGGCACGGCCAGCCTGGGTTATCAACTAAAAAATGTAATCGGGATAAACTAAACAGTCGGAACAATATAATTGAGGTTAAAGAGGGACAAGAATCTGCTCTAAACAAAGCGGAGTTTGACCTTGGGAAATAATAATGGATTTGCTAGAACAGAGGCACAGGAACTTCAAGTGAGATTTCTGGTTGTTTTCATCCTCCCTGTGTAGGCTGGGTCTATATTAAAGCACCAATCATTAAACAAAATGTGTTACGGACCTTTCTGTCTCGGAGCTAGTAAGTGTTTTTGCTCCCAAAAGATCGTATACACACACATTGCACTGCTAGAGCAACCTGGGTGAGTATGAACAGAGACTTGCATTTCCTGTGTAGTTCTTCAGTGACGTCCAATCTGCTCAAAGCTTACTTTGGCTGAATATGTAACATTTACCTCACCCATTCACACAAACTGGCTACAGCAACACGTGCCATTATTTGACCTTAGCCCTCTCAACTTGCTATACACTTATGCTTCTTTTCTACACAAACTGCTTCTGTAATAATTATGTCACTCCCAGCAACTCTCACAAGTCACTTCAAACAGATTTTTGTAGGCGTTACTAATAATTTAATCTTTCCCCAATGAAGGTGTTCCTATTTAAGTAGACACTATATACCCCATGAAAACTTCCATTAGATGCAGTCCACGTTTAAAGTCTAACAAGCATTTTATCTATCTACATAGTTAGAACCTAGGGGGCTGGCGTTTTTCCTTTAGTGGAATGTAGGATGACATTTTGAGCCAGTTTTAAGGCTTAAATAGATGCTAAAGAGTCCTGTACCCATCCTTCTGGAACTAGTTTGGTTCTTTGTGATTTTGGCTAAGATTTTAAAAAGCATGCATGGGACTTTCCTCAATGGGTAGAGGAATTCTACTTTTAGCTGTACAACTCTGTTCACATCACAGCAAGCAGTCCAAAACATGTCCAACATATCAACAATATAAAAGTTCTTTGATGGACTTTGTGCTGCATTGAGCAGAGCAGATAAGGCTATCATGAAACTAAAATAGTGTTAAATATTTGTTAATGTGTAACTGCAGATGATTCCCAGTTTCTGTTTAGCCTTCCTGATTTAGAAGGCAAACTGATTGCTTGAAACAGTAACTGGATACATTTTCAAAAGGAAAATAGTTACAATATTTACAACAGGTATTATTGCTCACCAGCAAATACTGTCTCTCATTCTTTGGACTCACTATCTCAGTAACCTTCTAGTGCTTTAGGGCTTCTCTGTGCTTAACATCCTCCTTAACTGATGGATCAGCTCCTATGTATAATTTTTAAAATATATACTATTCATACTAGTAAACTAGTTGGAATTCCACATAAATTTTGTTTTGTGAAGTTGCATTCTAGCTACCATCTTATGCAACAACCATTAAATACTGATATTTAAGATTTAAGATTAATTACATTATAATATACAAGGAATGCAAAGGCCTGTTCAATTCACTCTAGTAATTATTATTGCAGCACGTGAATAGAAATTTTTGGTTTTCGCAGACGAAGTATGTGAACTGCATACATGAGTTTTGGCTTAATTTTTAGCTGCTACTAATCATTCCACTTATTAAACACCATATCTCATAATTCACTTTATAAGTGAAACTATAGGGAATCAGAAAAAGCACCTCTCTATTCAGAACAATGAAATGAAAAAAAAATTCTTGCAAATGAAAACTGATCTAAAGGTTTTAAGGGAGGAGCTTGTTTGTTTTTTAAAATCAGACCATTGTAACACCATAGTGGTGTCACATTGCAGTTCCATTAAAAGGAGGAAACAAATTACATACATCTCCTAAAAACTGCCGATAGTAAAGGAAAAATCACATTGCAGACCTTCAAGTTTAGTGTTCTTCTGAATTTGCTAAAAGATAGAGCATTTGGAAAATATTTTAAAATGAGAATATGCATAGAAAATAAGCTACTCCAGTAATTTTACAGGAAAGCACTGAAAGACATTTCAAGAGTTCACAAGGAAGTACAGCCACAGAGTTCTTTGTAAATATTTTCCTTAATTCCACCTCTAGTATTCAATGAGGTGTGGCATAGAACAATTGTGCATTGAAATTATGCATTAAGACCTACCAGGCATCAAACTCTTAGTTCAAAACCAGAACTCACAAGGAATTTCTCCACACAATTTTAGGTACCTCTAGCATTAATATAAATATTTTTCCAGGTACTGTTTTTTAATGTTCTAATGTTGTTAACTCCTTGGAGTAGTTGTTAATCAACAGGATTTCTTTTGGTCATGTTCCCTCCCTCAAATGTTTCAGCATTAAGAAAATAATTTCCAACATCACTGGACTAAAAATGCCTCTTGGGAGAGTCGTCACATTAAATCATTTGTAACTACAAAGAATGTACTTTTATGCCAACATCACTGGTGTTCTACTTATCTACTTATAAAATCTCAGATTCCAAGTTATTTCAAAATAACAATGAAACTTTACAAGAGACACTGTAAATTGTGTATTTACACTATGATCAACTTCTACATTTGCAGCTATGAGTCAACAGTTTAATATAGACATTTTAAAAACACCCTTACAAACAAAAGTATTGCACTGGCATTATAAAAATTCACAGTAAGTTTGACTTCCAGACCTTGGTAAAAAACAGTGCAAGAGCTTTTCATTGTGCAAGAGCTTTTTATCCAAACCTTCCAGGTTATTAAAAATAATAATTAAAACAAAACAATAAAACCAACTATATGAGAAGCTGCAGTGATTTTCCGGCAAATCAGGTTCAATTCTTTCATAGTTCTCACTACTTAAAGAGATTTTTGGAGATCTATTTTCACCATTTCAAGGCATATCCAGTCCAACACTGATACAGGTGCATTTGGCAGAGATATGGCTCCACGTGTCCATGGTATGGAGAGTCCACAACGCTTGCAGAGATTATTCCACAATGAGAGAATCCCATTGTTTTGAGTAGGAAATCTCTTTCCATAATTTGCAGCACTTCCCCCACTTTTTGGGGCAGCAACATCAACAGTCGTGTATTCAACAGATCCTGAAGATAACACATGAAGAAAAGGTTACTCCAAAATAGTCTTGGAACAAACGGCCATATAACTCTAAACTGTTACTTAAGGTCAATCTTTAAAGTACTTTCCCTCATGTTTAACAGTCAATTGGAACTTTCCTTTGGGTCCCATCAAGTCACCAGCCCATCTCCAATAACGGCCAAGTGTGATGTCTCAATAAAGCACACAAAAAATATCTCCTCAGGATATCACCTCAACTGCCACTGACTGCCCCAGGTCTTCCTGAACCAAATATATTATCTTTATATCTCTTCTGCTTTGTCCTTTGGATTTTTGAATCAGTAAATTTTTATCTGTCCCCCTTCCCATGTCAAGTAATCTCACACTTCAATTACATATCACTTGAGTGTGTTTTTTCCTGCTTTGCCCTGGGAGGCATACACTTCATTCCTTACCCATAGTGACTGGATAGATTTCTGGAACACTTTATACTCTGCATCTCTCTTCAGGCTTGAGGATCCTCATCTACTTGGTATTTCTTTAATTGAAGCATTCCATATCATGAGAATTCTCACCTTTCTCTACTATATAATTTTTAAGATGGGAAATCAGAACAGCCTGTAGTGTTCCTTTCATAACTTCAAAATTTAATGCTCAAGAAGGTTTCCAAATGGCCAGTAAAGTGAAGGCATTGGGGTTTTATTGGTGGTTTGTTTTTCGGTTATTTTTGTTTGATTGGTTGCTTTGTTTTTGTTTGTTAGTTTTTGAGGGGGGTGAGTTTTTGTGTGTGTGGTGCCTTTTTTTTTTGTTTGGGGTTTTTTGTTTGTTTTGGTTTGGGTAGTTTTTTGTTGTTTCTGAATGTGTGTGTAGGGTGGTGGTTTTTTACCTTCTCATCCAGACAATATCTGCCCAAACATGTTTAACCCGTTTGGTTACGTTCATAAATATCTCCTGATGGGGAGAGGATTTGGTCTATCAGCAAGGAATGATCTGATTCAGACAGTTGTTTATGAGAAGTTCTAAGGTACTTTAGATGAACTTACTTCAAAAGGGAGCTCTAAATTATCTTTCAAGTTGAAACCATTTGTTATCCTTTTTTTTTTACCTTGCAAGTAAAGTCACAGAGTTTATGTTCCAATATGTAACATAACTGCTGTACACCCCCTCTGTTTTGGTTCCTTCTGAATTACCTCTACTGGAATTTGTTTACTGTAGCAACAGAAGCTGCCATTTACTTGGGATATCTTGTACTAAATCACTATATATATATATATGTGTGTGTGTGTGTGTATATCCCTATAGGACATGTAAATTAATTACAATCAAGAATAAGACTTGAAATATTTCAAAATAATGGATAACTTTCACTACTAGGAGTTCATTACAACAGAATACATATCCATCTACAGAGATAGCAGATTATCTACTGAGTTAAAAATTTGCAATTGCCATGATCTTTAGATGGAATGGTTCTGCATAGTCATTTATAAGTACAAATCTTTCCCTGCAAATATGGACCTGCCAGTTTTAGACCCATTTAAAAAAAAAAAAAAAAGGTGGTCTGAAAATAGAATTACTAATTTTCAACAGCCTGTTTTCTAATTGCAGCTGTAGTTAATAATAAACTAAAGAGCAGTAACAATCTTTGAAAGTTGTATTGCTGCTGTTCTTTCCTGCCTCCCACAAGTTTTCTATTAAGCAATAATTACTTATATTCCATCTCCCTACTGTTAAAACTTCCTCTCAAGAAAAATTTCATGGCTTTCATGAAAGAAGATGATTTCCACATGAACTTTTCTGTAAATCAACAGTATCTTCAGAATTTAGTTTCAAGGAGAAGCAGGAAAAGCTTATCTTGGACATAGTGAATCAGAACAGTGAGATGTTTAGAATCCTTGAACAGTTCAAACAGTACAAAACTGTGTTTACAGTTCCGTCAATAGAGGATTTTACATAATGAAGTGAAGGCTTGACTTTTGCCATGTAAATGAACACCCTAGGGATATTTTGAAAAGCTTCATGTTCTTCAACCATGCTTTGAAATAGGACCTAGACACTTCCTTTACATATCGGATATTATCACATCTTTTCTAGACGACTGAGGTTCAAGACAATCAGTTTAACTGATGATTGCATTTATGAGTTTCAGCCTCTTACGTACAGCTCTGCCCCCAAGTTAAATCCAAGTCGGCATTCCACCTTTCTTGTTCTCCAATGAACTAACACTTCATGATGCTAACGAAGGGGGTTCCCTTCCCAGGGGCTGGTGTGGGGTAGTGGTTAATGGCCATTGCTGGCAGCGTTTGGTGGCTGTGAGGACCAGTTCAGAACGCCAGGGCTCCTGTGCTGCCCCGTGGCAGCAGCTCTCCGCATGCCAGCTCCACCTCTCTCCCAGGCTTCACTCCTGCTCGCCTTTTCCGTTCTCAGACGGCTACAGGAAGTGTCTTCCCTGCCTAACCCCACCTGTGCAACCTCTCACACTCGTTTCTTAACCGTCTGAACTGAGGAAGATTCCTCAGTACTTTTATTTTAAGACGCGTCAGCTGCGGGCAGGTGGTTTAGCACAGCAAATGTTAACCCGAATCTCGGGCAGGAGAGCTGCCCCAAGCTCCAGCCAGAGTCAAAGCTCCCAGCCTGTTCCCGTCGCGGCTCTCACCTGCCGGGCTCGGCGTGGCGGCCGCGGCTGCCCCCGGCGCGCTGCAGCTCCAGCTCGGCGGGGCGGGCGGGGGCGAGCGCGGAGCCCAGGCGGAGGCTGAAGCCGTGCACCAGGCGCCGCAGCAGCGTGTCCCCGCGGCCCTTGGGCGCCGACAGCCCCACGTCGTCCCGCAGCTCCTCGAGCGGCACTTCCAGGTTGCCCGCGTACCAGAACACCCACCAGATCAGGCTGAGGAAGATGCCGATGCCGCCCGCGTAGATGAGCAGGTCGGAGAAGAACACGTCGGCGAACACTCCGGCCAGCAGCACCGCCAGCCCCAGCGCGTCGAAGGCCAGCGCCAGCCAAAAGGCGACTACGCAGCGGCCCAGCCCGCCCGGGGCCGCCATCGGGAGCGGCGCCACCGCCGCCTCGGGCCGCGCGCACCTGAGGGCAGGGCCGGGCCGCGCCCTCCCACCCGCCGGCAGGTGCAGGACACGCCCCCGCACCTGAGGGGACGGCCAGGCCGCGCCCCCCGCACACCTGAGGGCACGTCCGGGCGGCGAGCAGGAAGGCGGCACACGCCGCCCTCAGCGAGCCCCCAGACAGCCGCGGCGGGACCGAAGGCTGATCTGCATTGAGCAATGGCATTTGGGAGCTGAGGCCTCTCTGGATAGTGCTCGCTGCCCTTCCCATGCAGAGTGAGCCCGACACGGCTCAGCCCAGGGCCATGGCTCAGCTGAGGCAGTGCCACCGCAGGCACCCTGGGGAGGAAGGCATTTCAGAAAAGTGGCCCCCACATGAACATCCACTTAGTTATCTCCACACTTGCAAGGGGAGGCAAGCTGGTCGCAGACAGCAGAGACTTGCAAGACAGTTTCAATGTGCACACATAGACCCCTTTAACTGGGCTTGAGGAGTCTTAAAAAGAGCAGTTGGAATACAAGTTCAGGTTGACAAACAGGAAAAAAGTTGTCAATGCAAATGTAAAATTCAGTAAGTAAAACAGTTATGTAAAAGGCAAGACACGTATTTTAGTTCTTGGGTTAGTTAATGACCTGATACATATCTTTTTACACTCTCAAGTCCTCAAGCACAAGAACTGTATTTAGATGTAGGCTCTCCTGTGCCTGCTCTCACAAGGGCCTTATGTATAACACCTTATTTAATGTTGTAAACCAGTGTTCCAGTAACTAGAAATACCAAGCTAACAGGAACTATGACCAGGCCTAATAGCACCTTCCACGATCCAGAGGAAATAATGTGCAAAGAATGATGCTGTTGAGGAAGACTGCTCCTCCAGTGACAGTGCTACTCTTATACTGGGATTACAGACTTAATTCCTATTATAGCTTTAGTTTCACAAAACAGTTGAAAAGTTGCAAAAAGTTAGGGCTGCAAAAGGGTCAAAAAAAGTTGACACCACAGATCAAACAGAACATTTTCATATCCATTAGCGTCTACCATATTTTATTTAGCACCCACTTTCTTTTTAGGTAGCCAAGATCTTGATATGAGAATGCCCTAGAAAGGAGATGTGGCAGGGCTTTTTGAGTGACAAATTAGGCTGGTTAGTTCCTGTTGATTAATCTTGTCTCTTACCACCTTTCTTCTATTTGGAGTTTTTATCACTAGGACTTTTCACCACAAATCTGCCTCATATTCTCACTCTGGAAAGGACAGACAAGTGATCATACAGAGAACAACTGGGCAGTTCTGTAAAATTTTAAATATATCACCTTTCAGTGCTGAAGTATGTATTTTTCATACCTTAACAGAACAACTTCACTAGGCTGGTACAACTGGAATTCACACAGCTTTTGGGTTTTTTCAGATGGAATAACAATGGTTCTGTGGCCATCATGCAGAAATACTCTCAACTGTTCAGGTAGCAAAAATAAAGTCCAAAACTGAAAGTAAGATTTTGATTGATTTTGTAAAATATATGCAGTTAAAGCAGAATAGCTTTGTGCCTTTTAAATTCACAAATACCCTAGGTAAAAACAGCTAAAAATTACACTGTGTGGCTTGGTGTCAGGCTGCTAACTTAAATATCTGCACTAACAGATATTAAACAAGTAAACAATCACTGTCAGCTGTCTTTATTACATTGAACATTTTTTTAAAAAACTGTAGCAGTTTTTTCACCTTTAAAAGCACATGTAGAGTGCTGCTCTTGGCATGCATGCTTCTTGCTTCAGAAAGACAGTGCTTATTAAAATATTTCTCAGCCTTTTTTCCTCTCTGCACCTTGACACTTGAAAAATTTGAGTGTTTTTGGTTTGGGCCAGGAAAAGATAAAAGGTGATGGGGCCATTAAAACAGTGAGTTTATTCGTAAATTAGAAGAAAACCAATCAATCATTACAGATCTCAGTGAAAAAAAAACCCAACTATTTGGATCAGATTTCCTAAGAAGGCATTTTACTTCATCAATAAATTTGTCTACTAAAAATAAACGGTGGAATGAGGATACAAAACGTGTTACAACAGAAAATGTTCACGCTGACTGCGGCACGTGCACCTTTTTGGGCGCCTGCTTCGGTGGTTTTGAAGCCTTCCTGGCTGACTGTTTTGACTTGCCAGCTTTGGGTGCTGCAAAAGACTTTGCTCCAGGTTTTTTTGGAGTCTTTTTCATGTCTTTTTCTTTTATTGCTTCCTTTGGCTTGCTGACCCGCTTGGCTTTCTTCTCTTTTGATGACATCTGCAAGTTTGCACACTCTTCTGTAACCTCAGGTTTTGATTTTGGAGTGTCCACCACTAGAGATGGTTTCTTTCTCTTGCCGAGGGCTGTTTTGGTTTTCTTGCCCAAATTGTCACCTTTTTCTGGACTTGGTTCCATTTTCTGCAGTTAACACAAACAAAAAAATTACAATTCCACCCAAGAAACGTATTTCCCGTTTTTCAGGAAGAAGGATCAGTGAAAACCATTACAAATGACAAATACTTTCAATTGGACTGTGCCCTAGTTTACTTGAAGTGTGCTAACACATCACTGTTCCCTAAGGAGCAATGAACAATTTAAACAGTTCAAAATATTTAGTTTTAACTGAAATGCAAGTTTCTCAATATTACTCAACAATTACCTTCAGGTCAGCTGAGCTCATTGTTTCTATAGGCACCAGTTGTGGAATTTCTTCATCATCACAATCACCTGGTTCTTGGACTATTTCTTTTTTTTCTTTTATCACAGGCTCCTGGGTAGCAGCAGCAGCTTTATTTTCTGTTGTCACAGTGGCTTGACTTGGCTTCAGTTTTTTACCTGTCTTCTTCACTTTCTTGGGTTTTGCCTTCTAGAATTAATCAGAAGTACATCTCAGACAAATCCCCGTACCACTTCTAAATGTATAATAATTGTTTTAATGTAGTTAAAAATTAAATGGTGTAGCAACATTAAAGACTCCTACTCAATAGACCTGAACTAATCAATGACATGTAAAATATGAAAAAAATGCACTGCATACAGAAGTTTATTATAAATAGCTCACAACTATAGTAATGTCAAGATTACAGTCTCTAAGTTGAATATTCATGGTCCAAATTCATTTCAGACAAATGAATATAAGCAGAACTCAGTACAAAGAAGTATGAGCTCCCCTTATATACACAAATATGAGCTTGAGAATTATTCAGATGCCGCTGATTAACCAACAAAGAACAGATGCATAATTTGAATTCAGATGTATGTTAATGAGTGTATTTTCAGAGGCAAATATGGATAAACAATAGAAGCAAAGTTCTAAGAATGAATTTCAGGTCCCTTGAGTTTAGATCTAGAAACACTTTATTTCCAGTTTGCTTTAAAACCTGTAAGGGAGTTCCCATAATTTCATTATTATTACTGAGTATTTGGAGCCCTGAGGCAGGAGTGTCTGACAAGTTTTAGCAATAAAAGCCTGGGATCAGTTGCTAATGCATTTAAATTGACAATGCACAGAAGGAAGACAAAGAACTAGAACTAAATGTACCGATTTAATTTATGAAAAGTTTGAAGAAATTTTGTTTACCTTGTCATCATTTTTCTTGAGAGAGGGCTGTTTGTCAAGCTCATCCAGGTTGGAGATATTTGCAGTAAATATTGGAAGTGCAACCGATTTAAGTGTTTTGAGGTGAATAATTTTCACATTTTTCCATTTCTGCAAAAACAAAGCCAGTCTATTATGTAAAAATAAGGCTGAAGTATGAACCTATTTGTTTGTAATGCAGTCAATCAGCAGTACCTTTGGTAACTTGATATCAATCACTTTTGCTGCTGCAAGGATATTCTCAAGTATCTCATCCACTTTCATCCCAGTGTGACCTATGCGTGCTGTACTGAAAGAAGAGATGAATAATAATTCTATATGGGCAAATAAACTTATTCCAAGTTACTTGTTTAGTTTAGGCATACCCAAAAATACGAAACCCCACTTATCTGCAATTATCATAAACGAGGGATGGCTATTGCAGAAATCTTTTGTGGTAATAGTTAGAAGGGATTCACCTGTATTCATCTTTCCATATTTGGATATGCAACTTCTCCCTGACATTACAAAGCATTACTAGCAATTCAGATCCTTTCAGATATACAATGCATGAAAAAAAATCTTATTAGAATAGACTATTTTGGAAATAGAAAAATATTATTAAATTAGGTTAAAATTAATGCTCTTTGACAGTGACAGATGCCTGGAAATTCCTCAGATAAAAGGGAAAAGAGACAAAACCCCTCAACTTCATAGTAAAACTTAAGTAGAACTACTAATTTAACTATACAGGTAAAAGTTCAAAACGCCCCCCATTTGGAATGGTGACCCTTAACATTTTTATTCACATATTAAAGGAATAAAAATCCCTCACTTAAAATTCCTACAGTTAAGGCAGAACCGTCCTTTAAGTGATGTATTAATCTATTTGTACTTACTAACAGCACCCTTTGTTGTTAACTGGGAGTGTAGTCCCTTGGATATGTTTTTCTAGTTCCTTGGCAAGATCTTTGGCTTTCAGGTTTACAGATAAAGGTGCCCTAAAACAGAAAGTGAAACAGGTAAAAAAAGGAAATCATTGAAAAATCCAAAAGAAAACCAATTCCTCCATT